AAGAGTATGGGGGAAAGAAAGAGTCCCCACTGAATAGCTGTCATCTTGTCTAGATGGATCTGGTGAAAAGAGATGGGGATAAGATTCATAAGATTCAACAGTGAATAATTGCTATCATGACTAATTGCGACTGTCACAATTGTAAAGGTAAAAGTTTTATAACAAAAAAAGTGGAGTGGTTAATCTTACAGTCCAGAAACAGAGGACCCTAGGACCATCAAGAGTGATGCGTGCAAGCAGAATGCGGGACCTTATCCAGAGAAGCAGCGATGCCAGAGATGGAAGCAGAGATAGGGACATGGAGACAGGGAGTAGCTGAGGACTCTAGATTCATGGACTAAGAAGATTGGGACTAGGAGCTGGTGGCCAGGAGGCAGACTTTCAGAATGTGCCCTTTGGAGATGTAAATTATTATATATGCCTGAGTGGTTGTTTGTTAAAAAGCTAAAGTGGTACTGTTAACTGATGGTACATGGAGATTACAGTCATTGTAATGAAGCAAGGTGTATGACTTGTTGAATGTAAAACTGATATGCCCTGTAAACTTTCACTCAATCCACAATAAAAACCTTTAAAAAAAAAAAAAAGTGAAGCTGTAGATGTTTTAAAAGTCTGGAAAGTTACACAACCCAAAGTTACCTCCAGGTGTTGGAATTATGAGTAGTTTTAGTGTTAATAAATTTTTACATATTTGCATTAAAAAAAAAAAAAGAGATCCATATTTGTGCCATTCCAAAGAGAAGTGACCCAATGGAATGCAGAAATCATCAGATAATCTCTTTGATATCCCATTTGAGTAAAGTTTTGCTAAGGGTAATACAAAAACAGCTACAATCATATATTGACAGAGAACTTCCAGAGGTTCAAGCCCGATTCATAAGAGGCCATGGAACAAGGGATATCATTGATAATGTCCAATGGATCTTGGCTGAAAGCAGAGAATATCTGAAACATGTTTACCTGTGCTTTATTGACTACTCAAAGGCTTTCGATTGTGTGGATCATGACAAGCTATGGACAACATTGAGAAGTATGAGTATTCTGGTACACTTAATTGTGCTCATGAGGAATCTGTACCTGGACCAAAAGGCAGTTGTTCAAACAGAACATGGGAACACTGAATGGTTTAAAATTAAGAAAGGTGTGCGACAAGGTTGTATTCGGTCACCATACTTATTCAACCTGTATGCTGAGCAAATAACCCAATAAGCTTGGTTCTGTGAAGAAAAATGTGGCATCAGGATTGGAGGAAGACTCATTAACAACCTGCGATATGCAGATGATACAACCTTGCTTGCTGAAAGTGAA